ATGGCTATTTCGTCCCACTGAGTTGAGGCATTTGCATAAACATCCACCCACAAAACCAGGCAAATGAGTCTGTCACTCAAAGATACTGTCTGTGCTTAAGTGGAAGCAAAATCCAATCCATTTTTTTTTATTCCTCTTGGGACTTATGCTGCCGTTCTCCACAGCATTCCTTCTACAGGGTATAGAAAATGTCCTCGTGTAGCTGTAATAGATGCTGCATTTAAATCTACTGAGTGAACCAAGATCTGGGGCAGCAAAAAAAAAAAAAAAACTCTCATCATTAGCGTGGTATTATAATATTATTAAGTGTGCGCCCAATCATTACTGATAATATTTCTCCCTTTAGCCTATGATTAAAAAGGTTACGTCTGACTGTGGCTGATAATTACTGAACAATAATCCTGATTAAACCTTTGAGTGTATGGTTTAAAATCCCAGATTGGCATAACTGAAACCCAGACTTAACATAGTTCTAGGCTTCAACATGAACATCTGCTATTAACAAGCATGTTGATGCAGGCACTTAGACCATGTCCAGCATGTTTATGAAAAGGTGTTGAAAACATGGTCCAAAGCAGGCTGGGAAAATTGCAATAATAATAATAATAATAATAATAATAATAATAATAGTAGTAGTAGTAGTAGAAGTAAAATGAGTCCATTTGCACACACAGATCAGCCGTTTTCATCAAGGACATATGGCCATTCACAGAACCAATTTAAGCCAGGCGTCACTGTCTGGTTGTCTGGTTGTCTGAGTCAGATCTCAAACTGTCCTTCACACCACTAACAGCCATCGCTTGACATCAATGTCACATCCACAGCGTGGTTAGCCTGCCAACATGGCCACACATCTTAATCTCATCTGTCACCTAGACTGTCTGGTGCAGTGGCAGAGGTTCTGCACCGCGACTACTGTAGATGTGCTCCAGCATGAAGAGGGAACGAGACAGAGGATGGAGAGAAAGGGTGTGGGAGGGGGGCTATGAATCTTCATCTGGCCTTGCAGCCCAGCTCGTCTGCTCCACCAGTTAACATACCTACACGCTGCTGTGTCACCGCCATGGCAACCTGGCCTTAAAGGTAGATGTGCAACAGTTTTATCTCGACAACACAGTGACTGTGATCTGTCCACTGTGCTCTCAATGTCCACATCAAGTGCTAATACATTAGCACATTTAGCCTTGTCTTGCATCTTCAGGTGTTTTATGAAATCTCTTGTATTGTTACAAAACAGATCTCACAGGAGGTCTCTCTTCCGTCTTCGTCCCCGATGTTAGAATACCTACGAACTGATGACATTGTTGAACTACTTAAATAAACCACCCCTAAGGACCATGAGACACTGAACTGCAGTGGGGGAACACAACACTGACTCATCGACGCACAGCTGGTCGTATTGAAAATCCATTATGGAGCACAAGTATCAGTGCATCCCTAGCTCAAACTGTAGGTGTCTGCGTTTGGCTGCTTTTAATGTGATGCTGCGTTTGTGCTTCAGCTGGAGTTTTGATCAACTTCTACCGGCACTCGGAAAATGACAGCTGTGTCCATTCTTGTGGACCGTTGGACAAGAACACATAACATTTTTACCTGCTTAAATAAAATAAAAAATGTGCATTTATTGCCATCAAGAGGACAAGAGGTCTCTTTGTGTTTGGACATCAATTAACCACGACCGCTGCTCCTGTCTGTCAATATCCCAGAGTGTGTTACTCTTCAGTTAGAGTAATTTAATATTATAAACATACTACTTTATCTTCATTTATCCAAAATTGTTAATTTACTCACAACGCCCTTGAAGTCTTATTGGCAGCATTAGTGTGAGCGCGTGTCTCTAAACAGGAAAATAAGCAGAATCTGCTCCACTGAATGAGTGAAAGTCTGCAGCAGAGAGCTCTGTCCATTTAACCAATATAGTGGATCAGTCAGGAGCTCTCTCTCTCTCTCTCTCTCTCTCTCTCTCTCTCTCTCTGCACTATTGTGTTAAAGAGAAAGACTTCAGAGTCCAGAGCATCATTGAAATGTGATAGATAAAACAGAGGCTTTTGGGGAATGGACTGGGATTACTGAATCAACACCATCACAGAGTCAGTCCCCACCTCCCAGACCTGCTCTGGTTTAGAAAGACCACTAGTCAAATCATTTGGATCCTTTGACAATCCGTTGTTTCAAATGAAGCTTTTCCTTCATTTGGAATCCTCAAAATAAAACAAGATGAAGTTTATTTATTTACCTTTCAACCCTCAATATTTTTCAGGGTCGCAGGTGAAGATCCCATCAGTAACCCGGACAGTTCCGCAGTCCACCGTGGAGCCACCTATAGAGATAACCAGAGACAACACAGTGAATGTTTTGAACAATTAACCTTATCATACATCATAAACAACCCAAACTGCAATCGACCATGGTTTGTCTCTAGTGACCAAAACAGACATTTCCATTTCCCTTCACTTTTTACCCAGACTTCCATGTACATTCCCTTGTTCCCTTCTCTTCTGTTAACAGTGTAATTCAGTGCAACACCAAACACCTTTGTTTCTGGCAAAACGAACGATGGGTAAAACACGTGGAACAGTTTTACAAGGCTTTGATAAAAAGAGGTCATGAGACACAGCTACTCTCTGGCACTGATGTAATAAGAGGGGCAATAATTACTCCCTCATTCTGAAGCTTCCTTTCGGTGCAGCTGTATATTTAGTTTTTGTCTCTTTCCTGATGAATCAGCGTTACAGCTGTTTATTTGTATCCAGCTCAGTCAACTGCATGAAAATGCAGTGCATTATATATAGAATGTACTGGTAAATTTTTACCAGCCACATATATATTTTTTTTTTAAGATTTTGGAGTTTGGATGCGTGACCATGCAGCCAGAGTATTATTTTTGGAAGCAGAGCAAAAAAAGACAGTGAAAGCCAAACCTTTACCAAGTTGATTTTCTATTCTAAAGTTTTCCATTCAACAACATCAGTATTCCTCCATGGCCCGGAGCTGTCTCCTTGCTTTGCTATAAAATGCATCAATGCAGAGAGAGTAGCTGGAGGCCATTACTTATTGGTCATCGCTCTGCATCCACACGCCATTTTAGAAGTCACTCCTTCACAAAAACACTTTGTTTTTAATATTGTGCTCTGTTTAACTAACAGAAACTGAACTCACTATTTAAAATGTTAACAAAAATAGATTAGTACTACCTATGGTTACTGATCAAATGCTGTAGTACAGTCATGTCTCTTATTATTATTGCATTGATAATGACGTTTGGAAACAGAAATGGTAGTCGATTCAGTTGAATGTCATTTCAGTTCACTATTTTCAACCAAGAAAAACACATATAACATGCGTTTGCCTTTTGTTATGATTAAAACTTAATACATTGAATATATCAACAGGAAGCTATTTATTACAATATTTAAATAAATACATTTGATATTTTAAATATTTTGTTTATATTTACATATATATATATTTTTAAATTTATGACAATTGAAAACAAATCTAAGGTAACATAATCTTCACAGCATACATCACCAACCATTTTATTATCTTTATTTGTGTGTGTGTGTGTTGGTAGTTATAACTGGTATAGTTATAATTGTGTAAATATTTTACAGGAAAATACGTTTGTCCTTTTGGGGACACTTTTCAGCTCACTACTGACTCACAGAGTATTTTTAGGTTCAAGATTTAGTTTTCAGTAAGGATTAAAATTAGTGTCGGATTAGAGTTGGGGTGCGGATTAAGAGTAAGCATAAATGTTTAATAGTTAAATTTAGGGCAAGGGGCTCGTGCTCACAAAATGTGTGTGTGCAGCAACTAACAACGCTTCGTTCTGTTAAATTTCTATGAAGACACTCAGTCAGTGATGCAGCCTGTTGTATAACATGATGAATCTACAGTTGATTGAATACAACAGTTCCAACCTGACAAAAAAAAAAAAATCTAATTAAAATGAAAGGTTGAGGTGACCTGACTGTACTTACAAAAGAAAACTCTTTAAATAAAGCCCAAGATGACTTTGGGGGGACATAAGTTTTACCTTGCAAAATAAAATGTAGGAATAACAATATGAAAGTCAGTCAGTGTAAAATATTAAACTCCACTGCGAAGGTGCATTGGTGAAATAATGAATCACAGCACGTAAAAAAATGGCTTTATCAGAAATATTAAATGCACATTTCCCTTTTCTTCCCCATCCTTTCCACCCTGTACAACATTCTATGAAATCCACAAATTACTATGTATATGAGGTCACACTGAAGGACATATTCTAATTGTCAGTTTTTGTTCGCTACATATCCAGGGAACAAAATGTGATTGGGGCAAATGTTTGGGGATTTATTAGTGTTAATGAGGGTGATGGAGGTCGGCCCTTTCTCCTTTGACCTGATTAAAATCTACAAGTGAAAACCTCTCACGCTCTCAAAGCCCGCTCTTGTTGCTTGCACAGCCAAATTGATTAGGCGCATGATTAATTGGATGCAGGATAATTTAAAAACTATTAGGACAAAGACAATCGCTGATTAATATATTTGGTCAACACCGACTGGAAAAAACTTTTAATCTGCAAAACTGAGTTTGCAAACACACACACACACGTTGACCACTTGCCTTTAAAGTATTAACAAACACCCACTGTTAGATAAATACATTTACATTGACAACCATACATATTTCAAATATATAAATACATGTATATTTTATCCATACATATGTAAATACACAGATATGTATTATCTTTTCTGTATCACCAATGTACACAAAAAAAGTATATATACATTGTTCCTGTAATGCACTAGATTTAAAAGGTCATATATTTAAATAGAATATATTAATATACCAATGAAGCCCGCAGATCCAGTGAGCAGTGACTGAATCACATCAGGTCTCTATAGGAACCAACACCTGGCACTGCTGTGTGTGTGTTCACCCTCGATGAGCACATTTATACGAAGATGTCTATACTCCGCTCTCACACCGTGATCTAAAGCTATAATTTAGCAGGTGTTATCTTGAAATAATTCCGCTTAAAAGCCACTTCGCAGACCGTCTTTCAGAACTATCATCTCAGCGGTGTCCAAAGCACGGCTGTAGTGATGTTGTCTCAACAGTTATTAGAGTGCAATAATTGCAGCGCCCCTCTCAGATGTGAGGTGACAATTAGAGGAAAGGGGTCCAAAAACGAGGATTAGCAGCGAGGGTGTGATCGAATACTGTTGGCAGCAGGAAAGTATACGTACATACCCGATGGTGGGAACAGTCACAAGATTTCTGTAAACAATAATCTTCAAGGCTGTCAAGAGATGGAGTGTTGACATTTTTTTTTTTCCAGCGTCTCTAGATAAGAGACGAGGCATGAATATATTTTCATACTAACGTGGAGGCCTATTATGCAGCCTCCAATCTTAAGTTTCCATCCTTTTGAAAAGCACACAGCTCATATGAGCTCAGTGACATGTAGGAAATAATCAACACCTAAAGTCAACGGTGCTTCTTATCTCTGACCCCAGTGACAAATGAGAAAAATCGTGATGAAGACAGTGATTTTGTTAAATTTGTCCTGCTCTGACCCAAGCGGTGCAATAAGTCCCTTTCTGTTAAGGGGTCAGTGTTCAGTTGCAGAGGGCGTTCATCATAATGTCACTGCTTATCACAGCAGCTAATTCCCAAGGTCTGCATGGCCCAATTATGGAAAAACCCTCATCTCCGAAGCCCGGCTCTTTAATCCATGAAGTGAATATCACTCTTCATTTGCTACGACTGTCTCTCATTATTCTTTTAATTTGCAGATTGAAGATTGCAGATTGAAAGTGGATTTTTCAGAGGGAATTAGACTTTGTTCTTTTGTACAGTATGCTGTGTAAAAAGCAGTAAAGAGAGCAGGGGAAAAAAGACGTTAATGACTTTCCAGTTGCATGCTGGCACTTCTTCACAGCAACACCGTTTGTTAAAGTGAAGAGCAGACAAAAACTACATCAATAGAACGCTTAAAGGCTCTGAAAAAAAAAATCCACAACCTTAACAACCACATAGTTCAAGTCCTTAACCCTTGATATAATTCACAAAGCCAATATCCAGCTTCATTACTAAGATTTTATTTTACTGCAAATTGAGGTGGTGGTGGTTAAACTAGTTGGAGCAATTACCTTTTGTTTGGTGAATTCTGAACTTGCCATTTTGCAGTAATTTCATGCACTTTGAAGCAACCCTTATAAAAAGGAGAATAAAGAGAAGCAGGCCACAAAACCTTTTTTCTGTGACGGAGAGGTTTCTTTGGGTGGACCATGGAAGAGAAGACGTGAGACAAGTGTGGCTTTTTGTGTGAAACCTGGACACGATCAGGACGTGTGATCACCAAAGGTAACACCAGCCTGATCAGTACAGAAATATAATAATAATAATAATAATAATATACCAGATTAAATATTGAATACATTTGAACTCATACCTAAAACATCACACTATATACTGATAATTCCACCGTCCATGTTCCTATAAATACATACACTCTCACACAGTCAATACACATGTTTTTTGCACACACTGAGGGAAACATTACATTTCATCGTAGCAACTCATGCTTAAAATACCATCTCCATTCTCAGCATCAACTTCAACAGTCACACCAGCGTCACCGTTCAAGGCGCAGCAAATAGGTCAACAACTAACAAGCTGACTGACATCTGAGTTGTCAAATGGACTCTGAAGGAGTGTGAGCTGATTAATATTGTTGGAAAACTACTTCACAGCTGAAATTCAAGTTACAAGATTGACATTTTTTCCATACATTTTCCATACCAATGATTCCATAATTTGTATTAGACAGGATTGAAACACACACACACACACACACACACTGCTAGGATTTGGGTCCATTCACACAGTGATACTGAAAATTGGTTGTTTTAATGAGAATATTCAGACATTACTAGTAAAACAACCCAATCCTATCAAAAAGAAACTCCAGTCATCCATTTCATCCACTCTATTCAGAAATACACCTTTGAGGTAACAGTGTGATTACATTTCATCATGAATTCTCCCAGAGGACTCCCCTCACTCGGTGCTTGAGGATTCAGACATTGTGCCAGTAGTTATTTTGACAAAGCAGGTAAACAGCAGAAGTGTGGCTGACACTTGGTGGTGCATTGTTATCAAAGAGAAGGGAAACTGGAAATACAGCAGTCAGCTGTTTGTGAAGCTACAGCAAAAGAAGGTTTTCATTAAAAATGAACTGAAGTGCAGTCCCGCTCTTGCCTATCGTTTAAGCCAAATGTGGATTAATTGTTCATGATCAATACTTTCCAGGAAAATGTGACA